AGGATTACAGGCCTGAGCCACAACACCTGTCCCGCTCCCCCCCAAATTTTTTAATAAAATTAAAAGAAAAAAAAGAAAGATGTCTAGATCAATGGCTACCAAAAGTTAATATTTCTTATTTCTGAGAGGTGGGATAATAGGGGATTAGCTAATGGTGGTCAGAAATCTTTAAGAGCTATGCTTATGAATGATTTTTCCTTTTTTCTACTTTCCTATATAGTCTGTATTTTGAAATATGCCCATATACGTTGAAAAAATTAAGTACTTCCAGCCATAAAGGATAAATAATGAGACAATTGAGAATGACAAGGAATAAGACTGAGAAAAGACTGCCACAGAGAGAAACTTGTTTAAAGGCAAAAGAGCAGGAATTAGCAGAGAAAAAACGGACTGGGAAGCGAGGGCCCTTAAAATGAATAAGTGTTCTACCAGGTTTCACTAATAAATCCCATCTAAATGCCAATAACTCCCGAATTATATCTCCATACCAGACCTTTCCTTGAACCTCACATTCATATACAACTACTTATTCTACATATCTACTTGAAGATCTTTAAGTACAATCAGCCCTCTGCATTTGTGGGCTCCGAATTCATGGATTCAACCAACCTCGATTGAAAATATTTGGGGGAAAAAAGCATTTATACTTAACATGTATAGACTGTTTACTATATTCCCTAAACAACAAAGTTACTATTTACACAGCACTTACACTGTGTTTGGTATTATAAGTAATCTGGAGATGATTTAAAGTGTAGGGGAGGATGTGCACAGGCGATGTGCAAATGTGACACCACTTTACACAAGGGACTTGAGCACCCTTGGATTTTGGTATTCCCGTGGAGTCCTGGAACATCCCCCATAGATACTGAGAGACAACGGTATTTCAAACATAACACATCCGTGACCAAATTCTTGATCTTCCCCCTCCAAACCTGCTCCTCCCTCAGCCTTCCTCATTTTAGTAGATTCAGGTCAAAAACCTTGCAGTCATCCTTGACCATCTCTCTTTCCCACTCTGTACCTCCAATCTGTTAGCAAAGCCTATTGGCTCTATTTCTATCAAAATGTAACATGAATCCAGTCACTCCTTCCCACCTTCTCTACGATCAGCTTAGTCCAACCACATATTTCTAGACTGGACGACTATAGCAGACTCCTAACGTGTCCCTGGCACCCATTCTTGCCCCTACATCTATTCTCCAAAAAGCAGCTACAGTGATGTTTTTAAAGAATAGGTCAGATCATGTCACTCTTTTTCTCAAAACTCTCCAATGGTTCCCATCCTACTCAGAATAAAACCCAAGGTCCCTACTATGCCCTGCAGGGTACTATGTACATGATCTCCAGCACAGGCTCTGCCTCAGGGCCTCTGTCCTTGCTCTTCCCTCCACCCAGAATGCTTTTACAAGGTTCACTCTTTTACTTCATTCATATCTCTTCACCAATAACGCGTTCTCAGAGAGCACTTCTCCTTCCACTATAATTGCCTTCCCACACCCTTTACCTGCTTTACCGAGAACAGGAATTCTGTCTTTGTTTATAGCTATATCCTTAGAGCTTAGAAACATATCAGAAACAAAGCAGATGCTCAAAATTTGTTAAATGAATGAGTCAATGAAGGATGCCAATATTTTATTCTTCTGAAATCACTGTGAATGATGTCTTTCTTTACTTCTGATTGACCAGACTACTCTATGCATCACTACAATTCAGACAAATATTTTCTCTCAGTTACCAATACATGGAAGTTAAGAGAAACTCTACCAAGCTCAGGAGTCAAAGTTGGTTTCTGGTCAATTTCACATGGGTTTTTGGGGAGGCAGGAGGTGTCACCAGAATCAATCAACACAGTCCCCAGTAAGTGGGAAAAGAGAGCTCTGGCTGCTTTATCACCCATTATGACAGAGTGAGACCTTAGAAACTAATGCTGGTCTAACTGTACCTGTCCCTGTGGGGTCACCTCCTTGGATCATGAAGTCTTTGATGATTCTGTGGAATTTGGTGCCATTGTAGTAACCTCGACGAGCCAACTCAGCAAAGTTCTTACAGGTCTTCGGCGCATGCTTCCAATATAGCTCCAGCACAATGATTCCCATGCTGCGAGGGGAGAGGACAGCACAGCTCCAGTCAAGAACAAGGTCACGGCAGATAGGAATTTTGTGGGACTGTTCCAGGACTCTTGATTTTCAAGCTTGTTAAGTAATGAAATTGTGATAACCACTGGGTTTCATGGAAAACAATACAATGCAAGTAACATAAACACAGATTATCTCTTTTGCTAAAACATGCAGGGACTTCTGGTACTTCTTTTAAGTAAAATAACTGTGGACAACTCACAATTCTAATACCTTGTATACAAAAGTCACTGATAGTCTGAAACCAATATAACCATCCCCTAAATTAGGGGGAAAAATTCTTACTTTTAATATTTAGATTTAAAAAAAGGACATTAAAATATTGGGAGTTCATATTTATACATGCAGAAGTTTCTGGGTGGGGGTAGGGAGTGGGTAGATAAAGACAGATATTCAATTGAGGTTTTTTACAGCTTTTATATTTTTGATCCATGTAAATATATTACCTACTCAAAAAATATTTCAATGGAAAATGAAAAAAGTAGTTTGTGCGTGTTTGGGAGGGAGTACAACAAAGGCAAAACCTGATTACTTCACACCTCTGACCCTACCCAATATGATGAGTGCTTTTTCCTCCCCAGCACTGCTAAAGGATAAAGAAGAGACAGGACAGGTGCCTTCCCCTCCACTCCATCAATCATCTACACTTTAAACTCCAAGAACGCAAGAAGTGAGTCAACTCTGTATAGCCTGGATACCCAGTGCCTAACACAGTGCTTTGCACAGTGTAGGTACTCTATGAAATATATGTGGAATGTGCTAGAAAACAGCTTTCTAACAGCCTTTCTGCCTGCAACCCTCTTTTACACTGCTACCATTCAACACAGATTAACAATTACGCTGTGCCAGGCACTATTCCAGGTGCTTTTTCCATCATGGAGCTTACAATCTGATGGATATTTTTAAAATACAGGAAATAACCTTTTAGAATGGCAGTCAGGAAGTCCTTACACAATTCTGAAATGTGCATACCTCAGCAATTTCAACTTCTAAGTATCTGTTCTCTAGGAAAATTTACAAAAGCGCCTAAGGAAACAGTATGTACAAGGATGTTCATCCCATCATTTGCCATACCGAAAAAAGAGAAGCAACTTGGCTGGGTGCGGTGGCGCACACCTGTAATCCTAGCACTCTGGGAGGCCAAGGCAGGAGGATTGCTTGATCTCAGGAGTTCGATACCTGCCTGAGCAAGAATGAGACACCATCTCTACCAAAAAGAGAAAAATTAGCCATGTATCATGGCACACGCCTGCAGTCCCAGCTACTTGGGAAGTCGAGGCAGGAGGATCCCTTGAGCCCAGGAGTTTGAGGTTGCAGTGAGCTACAACGATGCCACTGTAGTCTACTCAGGGCGACGGAGTGAGACTCTGTCTCAAAGATAAATAAATAAAAACCAAAAAAATTTAAAAATCTTTAAAAAAAAAAGAGAAGCAACTTAAATGTTCTTCAAAGAGGAAATGACTAAAATATCAATTATTCATACTATGAGCAGCTACATGTATTACTGAAAGAAAAGTATGTTACAGAAAAAACATATATATGATGTTTGATATGATTCCATTTTTGTTAAAAAGTAGACATAAAAGAGAGATGTGTTTATATGTACATAGAAAATGATCTGCGTGGTAATCCAACAAACTGTTGGTACTGTTTTGGGGGGTGGCTTTCACTTCTTATTCTATATACCTCTACATTGCTTGGATTTAAATTAAAAAAAAATACTAACGGGAATCCAGAAATTACAGGTTGGGGCCTGAAGAAGCAGAATTTTGTCATAAAAAAAGATGGAGAAGATAGCCAGGGAGCAAGAACAGCATGAGCAAATACCGAGGGGACTCAGAGAACTCTGCGCTCTGGCTGAAAGCAGCATGAGCAAGAACAGAAAGACAGAGAGACTTTAGCAGGCCCCTGGCTGCTGATGGGGAAATGTAGGTAGGCAAAAAGATGAAAAAAATCACCTTGAATGCCAGACTAAGAAGTTTCAAATTTATATTGTTACAGCAGCAAGAAGTTACTTAAATTTTTTGAGCAGGATCCCGTGTTCAACTTTGGAAAGCTCACTTTGAGCTTCTTCTAAAGAGGCAACAGAATAAATAAATGGGGCTGAGAAACCTAGCATATGGGACAGGCAGCCCAGGCTCCACACGAGGTTCCCCCACTCACCAACTGCGTTAATGTAAAATTTGGCATTTCCCCAGCTAATACTGGAGGGGGAGGAGGTGAAATAATACCTTCATGAGTTGAGATGCTGGGAGGATTAAACTAAATGGGATGATATACATCAGGAGCATGGTACTAGCAGGTTAGTTATTATATCGCTCTGATAGTGGGAAAAATGTGCTTCTTCCTGTATTGTCACAGTAATTTGTTTATATAACTATACTACTTATCACATATTTACCAATCTGTCTCCTTCACCATACTGCAAGCTTCTAAAGGCAGGGCCATGTGTGTTTTATCCACTTCTGTATCCTCAGAATTCAGATCCCATGTACCTGACTTGAGGACTTACTACATTCTTGTTGAATGAATGGATGAATGAATGAACAGAATGGAGGGAGGAGAACAATCAGCGCGAGTCGGTGCGGAGCTTGGACGCGGGCGGTGGTGTCCCCTCTCGGCTCTCAGGGGGCCCTCACGGCGCCGCTCCACGCCCCTCCACGTGGAGGCCGGCCTCCTGGAGGAGTGCGCAAGAAACCGAGCCCGCGGCGAGACCCAGGGTCCTCGTCGCCTCCACCAGTCCAGCCCCAGAAGCCCGAACCCCCTCACCTGGTCTCCAAGTAAACGTTGGGGGGCTGCCAGGAGTCTGGGGGAATTGCCGCCATAATGAACCCAGCGGACTGTTTCTCCAGCAATTACTACTTCCGGCGTCGATTTGCAGGGGACCCGCAGGTGCTGCACACACTTCCGGCCTCTGCCGTTCAACTCTTTCGATGCCAGAATTTGAGGGGCTGGAACAAGGAAGAGGACGCTCCCGTCTTCCAAGACTAGGAAGCTGGGGTGCGAGGCGAGAAGAGGCTGGGCGCAAGGAGGGAGAAAAGTGCAAGCTCCATCAGAGGTGGTCTCCAAGCGGCGATACCGCGCCACTCTCTGGATGATCTGATTGGTTCTTTTAGGCATGGAAGGCGGGAACAACTAGCAAGGCTGCACTCTGATTGGAGTTATTTCCTAACATTTCAATTCGAGGAATTTCTAAGTCCCACAATTGGACTGGGACCAGAAGGGGAGGAAGTGAATAAAAGAGAATAGGGCCGAGAGATGCCAGTAACGAACTTTCTGAAGGCACTGGGAGATTTAGACATAGCGCTTGTACTTTATCTCATCTACTCCACAAAGCAATCCTGCAAATAGTATTATTCCCATTTTTCAGATGCAAAAACTGAGACTCAGCACTTAAATACTTGTTTTTCCATAGCCATATGGCAAATCTGAGCCTCCAAACTCCAAAGGTAAGGAGTCTGGGGAGAGAAGAGAGGGAAAGGCCAGGAAGAAAATGGGAGATAAAGAAAAGGAGAATGCAGGTCAAAGGGATCAGAGCAAGAGCAAGGCATAAAATGATTGGTTGGTGCATCAAAATTTTAAGAAAATTTTGCTCAGGACCCGAGGAGGAAAAGCAAAGTAGAGGAGTTACGAGCAGGTTTGGAGGGAAGAATGAAGTGAGTAAATACATGTATACTGGAAATGCTTTGCACACCACTTAATGATGGCTAAATGAACACTTACTATGTGTCCAGTATCAAGCTAAGCACTTTATTGTCTATTTTTATGCTTAATCTTCAAAACCCCACAAAGTAGATATTACCATTCCCATTTTACTTTGAGGAAACTGAGCCTTACAGAGATTAAATAACTTGCTTAAAGTACCACACCTGGTGAGCTTGTGCTCTTAACCACAGTTCAACCTTAATGTCCTTAATTGTAAAGTGGGAATAAGGACGTACAAGGTTGTAAAGATAAACTAGACAGTGAGCTCCTTGAGAGAGGAACTGGGCCTCCTTCATCTTCGCACTGTCCTTGCAAAATACTGAGCAAAGGGTGCTCAGTTTTTGTTGAATGAATAATGAACAGGAAACTACATTTTAAATTAATGAATACCGGGCTAATGTAAAAGTATAATTAATTTTGCACCTCCTACAGTCTTGTGTTCATGCCTACTTTGTGGCCCTTGAACTGGATGGAAAAGTCTTAATCATTGCTCCATTCTGTCTCTTATTATTTGAGTTACCTTTCTCTGGATTTTATGTAGTTCCTTACTGTATATCTTGTGAGGCTTGTGCCATCCCCAGGCTCCAATGTCTGAATACTTACAAGCTACCTCCAAGGTCACTTTCTCCCTAAATCTTTTCCTGGAGCTTCTACCAGCCATGAGGCACTAAATAGAGGTGAGTCACACACACAGTGCCCTGCCCTAAAGAAATTCACCTTCTAGGAGAGATGGACAACCAAACACAAAACTACAAGAGAGTGGAATGAAGGTTGTAGTGAACACACAGTGCTTCCTGAGCTCTGGTTGCTCCAGAGCAGCTTTGAGCAGTCAGAAGTCTCCCCTGGAGTTAGAGCCTGAGTTGAGATCCAGAAAATAAGTTGGAGTTAGCTAGAAGCCATGAGGGATCAAATCAAATCAAGATATAAAATGTTTCCACTTCCTCAGAAGCCCCCTACCAATCATTACCCCTTCCTTCTTCCCCAAAGGTAACCACTTTTTGCCTTGTAATATCACAGATTAGTTTTCCCTGTTTTTGAATTTTATATAAGTGGAGTCATAAAGTATGTATTTTTTGTCTGGCTTCTTCAACATTAAGTTTGTGAGATATATCCATGTTGTCTTATGCAGTGGCTATTTTTTCATTTTTCCCCCGCTGTGTAGTATACTGTTGCACGAATATGCTACATCGTATTTATATCATCTATTGTTAATGGGCATTTGGGATGCTTCCAGATTATGGCGTTACAAATAATGCAATTCAATGCAGCTGCTATGAATATGCTTGTATGTATCTTGGTGCACTTGTACATACATTTTGGAGGGGTATATACCTAGAAGCAGAACTGCTGGGTCATAGGTAATGTGTGTAATATAGTAATTAACATCAGACTGTTTTCCAAAGTGGCCGTAGCAATTTACATGCTCACCAGCAGCCTGTGAGAATTGCTGTTCCTCTGCTTCCTAGCCAACACTTAGTATTGCCTGTCTTTTTCATTTAAGGGATTCTGAAGCCTGTATAATGGTATCTCAGTAGTCATTTCATTAACAACTAATGATTAATGAAATTAAATGCTTTTTCATATGTGTATTTGCCATATAGATAGCCTCTTTGTGATACTGTCTTTTCGTATTCAAATCTTCTGCCCATTTTTCTATTTGGCTGTCCTTATTGGTGAAGTTCTTTATATATCCTGGACGGAAGCTCTTTGTCGGTTTCTCTCACTCTATGGCTAGTCTTTTTATTCTCTTAATCGTGTCTTCTGATGATCAGAAGATTCTAATTTTAATGTAGTCCAATATATCAGTTTTGTCTTACAGAACGTCTCAGTTCTGACTAGCCACATTCCAAGTGCTCAGTAGTCACTTGCACGGCAGCAGCATTGAAAAGAGCAGCCCTGAAGTTTTGTTTTGTTTTTCTCATACAGATCTACAACGCACCTGGAATTATTTTGGTGTATGCAGTGAAGTAGGTGTCAAGTTTTGTTTTTTCTATGTGGATATACAATTGACCCAGCACCATTTATTGAAAATATTATCCTTTCCTCACTCCTCTATTGCACCTTTGTCATAAATCAAGTGTCCATATATGTGTTCTGCTGTCGGGGTCGCCATTCTGTTTCATTGATTTACCTACCTCTGCGTCACTACCACACTGCCTTTGTAACTGTAGCATTTAGTCTGAACCCAGGAGTATTTTGTTTACAGATCTCTTGCAGAAAGCAGTTACGAGTTTTGGCACTGCAGACGGGGTAGGATAAGGAGTCCGGGTCCAAATGTTGACCACTCCGCTCTTTATCTGTGTAATTCCCAGCAAGTTAACCTCTCCATAAACCTGTTTGGTTTGTAAGAGGATAAATGTGGGGATAAATTTATGTCATAGGGTTGTTGACACGGTTTCACGGATAAAAAGTGCTTAGTAAGGCCTGGCACAGAGTAAGCGCTTGATGAATATTAATGAGTAGAAATTAGAGGGATTTGTTCTCTTGACTTTCTCAAGACTAGGAGTCCCCAGGGGGAAGGAGCTGCTCTTCATTTATGTACCTCTCCCACCCCCATCCCTTAATGACTAACACACTGCCCGGCACGTAGTAGAGGACTCAATAAATGCTTGTTGAGTTAGTCAGTTTAGCTACGAAGTTTGCGTCAGTCCAGCTAGAGACGAGTGACTGAGGACAAAGAGCGGCAGCGCGAGCGGGACGCCAGGGGGAGCAAGAACCAGTGCTCTCCAGATATCTCGAGAGCTCCCGCGCGCGCCGCGCCGGCGTGCGTCCTGTTTTTGGCGGAAGCACAGGGAGAGAAGGAGGAGCTATCCTAGGGGACGCGGCCTCGCCAGTGGCGTGGGGGTTGCTTCCGGGTTGCGCTCCCGGAAGTAGGAAGTTGTCGGCCCATCCTCCTCGCCCGGCGGCCGCTGTCCCCGAGGCGGGAGGAGCCCGAGGGGGCGCGGGCCCCGCATGTGAGTGACTGGGGCCCGAGGCCGGGAGGGGGGAGGCCGCCCCGTGACAGCCTCGCCGGCGCGCCCGTCTATGACATCCTCGCGCAGCCCCTCCCTCACCGCTGCTGCCACCCTTTACCCCAGCGTTGATCGCTTTTCCGAGTCTTTCTCCATTTGCAAACTGACAGCATTCCCTGGTAGCTCCCCCGGGGTCCACTCCCTCAGGACGTCTCTCTATCCTTTGCTCCTCCGGGGAGAGCAAAAGAGGTCGACCCTGCTTGAATTTGTTTCTCAGGCGTCGCAGCAGTGTCCAAAACGAGCAGTGCTAGCGAAGTCAAGATTTCTGCCCTTTTGACTTTTTTGGGTTTTTTTTTTTTAGTGTAGTAGATTCCCTGCCTCCTTCTGAGACATCTTTTCCTAATAATTAAGGGGGAAATACTTCTTCTAAAAAAGTGGGACTGGGTATGTGATAAACCTGGCATCTCAGATTTCAGAAAGGAATATGACTTGGTTTATTGACAGGAGTAAATGAGCTGTTTGTAATCGCCTGTTAGTACAGGGAAATCTACCTTCTTCATGTTCCTGTAGTATTTGAAGACTTACCCTGCAGGCCGCACTTTCTCTGCTCTGAGAGCTGTCATAGCCTTGGTATTCGCCAACATGTATTTTAAAGTATTTAGTCATCAGTCACCTTATGATATGGACTACTCCCATATGCTTAGTATTCTGACTTTTCCAGTTGCTCACTTGGTAGTTCCCATGGTGGAATCTTCTACAGACACCTATAACTTAATATACTGGCTTATTTGAATTTGAGTTGTCACAACTTCCTTTAGGGAACAACATGCCTTAAAGGAAAAAAAAAAAACTGAATTCAGCTTGGCTACAATGAAGTTTTGACTGAAGGTTCACGTAGCCCAACTTGCATACCAGGAAAAGGCCTTTTCTACCCTGGACTGAAACATTTTTCAAGACCGAGTTTGAATCCCAGTTCCTCCTAAGCTACTTTTCGGCACCAAAAAGAAGGTCCAAGTGCTGGATTCCTAACCTGCTCACCTAAACATTCATCAGGCTGATGCATTAAAAAAAGAAAATTCTATTGGGATCTGAATTTTTTGGGAAAGAAATGTAAAATTAATAAACCATTAGTTACATTCAATTAGTTTGGAAAGAGAATGATCACTTTAGGTCCTTTAAATTTGTTCAACATTAATCAGGTTCTGTGGCTGAGGTAAATTTCTATGTCTGTTCTTAGTTTTTTGTATTATTTTCTCTATTTATCTCTGCTTTCAAGAAATTCACAATTTAGTGTGGAGGTAGACAGGGAAATAGATGTAATATAAAGTGATAGAGTTATATAAGGTTTAAAGGGCAAAGATCAAGGTCAAAGAGTTCACTTATTGAACAGAGCACAGGAGGCTAGGCTTTTTAGGCAGAGGAAACTGTGTGTACAAAGGCAAAAAGGTGTGAAACAGTGACAATGTAGAATGTGCGGAAGGATTAATGGGAAATGAGATGGAACCAGTAGGCATTGACCAGCTCATAAAAGACCATGGTAAGTATTGTAATTTGAACTTCATCTTATAACAACTGTTTTTAGGTATTTAATTTGTCTGGATATTGGAACAAATGTTTTATATCATTTTGCAATTCTTTTAACAACATTGCGGGGTAGGCATAATTATCCCCATTTTATAAATGAAAATTCTAAGGCATAGAGAGGATAAGTAGTGTCTCATGGCTACATAGCAGGTAGAAAATTCTAGAATTTGCACCCAGCTTTTTCCACTTCCAGTGCCTGTGTTCTTAACCACTATGCTAAACTGTGCTTCAGCAGAGAATGAAGAGTCTTGGAAGGTGCTTAACATGAACCAGTTTGTATTTCAGAAAAATAACTTTTGGACGGGGTAGAGGATGGATTAAGGAAAAGGAGAACTGAAGTGTAGAGTTAACTATATCTTTGTGATGGTTCTTAGAAGATATGTTAAGGGCCTTAACCATGCCATTAATGTAGAGAGGAGGGAATGAATATGAGAATTATACAGGATGTTAAAAAAGAGGATTTAGTGGTAGTTTCATTGGTGGGAATAAGGTAGGAGAAGGAGAGTTTTTAAATTTGGAGGACTAGTGTTTCCATTAAGAAAGGGAATACAGTAGGAGGAATGGGTTGAAGGGGAAAAATAATAGGTTCGGTTATGGACACATTATATATAGGGAACTATCGGAAATTGGGTCGTGGTGTCTTCTAGGTAGTTCAGTAGACCTTGAGCTGTGGAGAGAGTGCTAGACTACAGAAGAGATTTGGGAATCCCTAACATCTGGTGGTTAAAGTACTGGAGGGAATGGGAAGAAGGTCAAGGACAACTCCAGTTGATACCAGCATTTGGGAAGAGAACAATAGGATTATGCCAAGGTTTGAGAGTGCATGAAGAGTAATAGATAAGTATTAAATAGCAACAGCTGCTGCAGAGAGGTCAGATAAGGTAATAACTGAAAAACATCCTTTGGATTTGGCATTTAGAAAGCCACTGGTGACCTTAGTGGGAACAGTATCAGTGGGGTGAGGGGGCAGAAATATGACTTCAACATTCGCTAATAAATGAATGGCGACCTGCAAAATGAGAGTGAGTCTCTAACAGGTCTAAGCCCCCTAGAATCATGTTCACTCTTCTGAACTTCCCTCTGTGGCAAAGGTCACTTCTGCCAGAGTTGGATCTTCTTTTTGGAGGTAAAGAGATTGGATTGCCATCAAACCTCAGCTGATTTCACTCAGTCCCCTCATGCTTGATGCTTGGCCATGACTTTGTGTTTGATTTTTTTTTTTAAAGGACCAGATTTTTTTGTTATTGTTTAATTAACAACATATCCAATTACATGCCAGTAGTATTCCTCTAGTAAGACAATAAAAAATGTCTCCAGACATTACTGAGGGACAGAATCTCCCCCAGTTTAGAACCTCTGATCTAACGAAAACCAAAAGGAGGGCTCTTTAGCAAGATCCCAAGGTACTCTTAGAAATATCTCTAAGTTACTAGTAACTACCTTTTGGTTAACTTGGGAAATGTGTCAATCTCTGGGAAGAAGGATGTGCAGCTTGCAAAAATATATTCAATATTGTAATATCATTCTATACTTGAATTACCAAAAAAGAAAAAAACTTGTTTTTTGTAATACAAACTGGGAGTTTGATGAGATTTTTATATGTATCAAAAGGGAGCAGAGGTTTATAAAGTTTGCAAGACAGTCATCAAAAATGATGATGGTTGATCCTCTTAGCTTCACCTGCGCTTCTGTCCCCTTCAGGTTTCTCCTAAGAGCACACCAAGGTGACGGTCTCTTCTGCCCCAGGGATAACTGCATGTGGTCCCACCTCCCAACAAGCACACTTGACAATTTTTTGCTGGAATTTTTTCTAGAATTCCTTCCTGGATTCTTTCCTTTCTGATCCTCTACTGAGTTTTAATGGATTTTGACAGGGTATTGTTGAATACTTTAATATATTTAAATGAACATTATCCCTACTTTCTTAGGATGTTTTTGTTAATTTAAACAGGAAAACTATCTGTGGAATCACTGGTCACAAAACCAAGATGTGAAAAATACTGTAATAAGTTATCACTTTATTCTTTTTGCAGGAATCATTGTAGTCAGTCACTTTCCAGTTCTCAGCCACTCAGCTGTGATCAAGGGATACACGGTTTCGGAACTGCCCACCCAGAATAGGAAAATACTTGGTAAGGGAGGCAGCCTGCATAAAGGTTAAAAGCACCAACCAACCTTGAAGTCAGGCACCCTTGGGTTCACATCCTGGCACATTATGAAACCTTTCTGAGCCTTAGTAAAGTCTGTGGACGTCTGTGAAATGAGATTAATCACACCTACCTTATGAGACCACAGTAGTGGTTCACTGAGATAGTGTTTCTGGAGTGTTTAGTACAGCATCTGGCATACAGAGTGGGAATAGGAATAAAAATGCAATTGGACATACGTCTTTAGTTTCTAACGAATTGAATTTTTCTCCTTCCTGAAGTGTTCGTAGACTCTTAGAATTTCGGAGCTGGAGGAGACTTTAAAAACCTCATGGCCCAATCCTCTTACTTTTCAGATGCAGAAATAGACCAAGTAACTTAGCCAAAATAATTTCACTAGTGATTGGCAAAGCTTGAATGAACACTCATCCCTCTTCTCTCCTAATCCAGTACTGCTTCCATTTTCCAGCTATAACATTTAAATACAACTCTATGGAGAACCGAAAAATCATTCTCGGCGTCTATGGCAAATCACGCCTTGCTTCCTGTGGTGCCATGGCCATGCACCACTGCACATCTCTGACTCCTTTGTGCTCAGTGATGTTCCTCAGGAGTAACTGGGAATTTTGTGACTACAAAATTAATATAGGAAAAGTTTGGAAAGTGTGAAAAAGCACAAAGTAAATAAAAATCAGCTATAATCTCATTTCTCAGAGATCATCTACTCCTGACTTAACTGGAAATGCTACATCCTAATTTGTGGTTTTGTTTTGTGTGTTTTTTGTTTTTGTTAGTATAGCTCTTAATGCTTTATAATCCCTTCTCTGGCTGCTAATCATAAATAGCTTAGTGAAAAGAGTGTGAGGTCCAGGTTAGGCTCAGGTGACAACTGACTGGTGGTCTCAGATAAGTCATTTCTTCACCTAGAAATCTACTTTCTATCGATTTGCCTGTTCTTGCCTTTTCATATAAATGCAATCATATAATATGTAGTCTTGTGACTGTCATCTTTCACTTAGCATGTTTTCAAGGTTCATCCATGTTGTAGCATGTATCAGTACTGCATTCCATTTTATTGGGGTTTTTTGACATTTATATTTTAATAAAGAATAATAAGCCAAATTACAGCTAACTGTTAAAAAGTTTTTTTGTTTTTTGTTTTTTTAATTCTAGGGTACAAAAAAATCAGTTCAGGGGGCTTTTTTCTGGACAAATGATCTCTCGGGCTTTCCCATAGCAGGCTCCTAAGCAATCCTCTAAGTCTAATCAGTCACATATGATACTGAATGGTGAGTCTTTCACGTTTGCTGCTTATAATTCCAAAGTGATCAATATCTAGCATTTTCACTTCTGAGTAAGAGAAAAAGCACTTTGGTCCATTAATTCACCCACTTGTTCCTGGAGGACATTAACCAACTCTGCTATTACAAAGACATGAGTTTCATCAATGTCTTGCATGGTGAACTTCTTCCCCAGGGCTTTGGACTCATCCAAGTACAGCAGAAACTGCTTCGTGGCGGGATTGCTTTCTATAAGCACTCCTTTCAAGACGTTGACCATCTTTTCCCTGTCAGAAGATGCAGATGACCTCAAGAATGCTCTGCCCACAGACTCAGCTGTGCCTCCCATTCTATTGTTCAGTAATATTGCATTATATGGATATACCACATTTTGTTTATCATTCATCAGTTCTTGGACATTTGAGTTGCTTCCATTTTGGTGCTATTCTAAATCATACTGCTGTTAACATTTGTGTTCAAGTTTTTGTGTGGATACACACAAAAACTCTTGTATCTCTTGGATACATACCTAGGAGTGGAATCACTAGGTCATGTGGGATAACTATGTTTAACTTTTGAGGAACTGTCAAACTGTTTTCCACAGTGGCTGTACCATTTTATATTCCCACCAACAGTGTATAAGAGTTCCAGTTGCTCCATGTCCTCACCAACACATGTTATCTGACTTTTTGGTCATAGCTATCCCAACGGATGTGAAATGGTATCTCATTGTGGATTTGATCTGCATTTCTCTGATGGCTAATGATGTTTAGTACCTTTTTGTGTGTTTATTGACCATATATGTTAATATATCTTTTCTGGAAAAATGGCTATTCAAATCCTTCATCTATTTTTGATTAGATTATTGGTCTTTTTATTAATATTACTGATTTGTAAGAATTTTTGATGTATTCTCTATACTACCCCCTATCGGGTATATGATTTGCAAATATTTTCTCCCATTCTGTGGGTTGTCATTTCACTTTCATAATGGTATCGTTTGAGGCACAAAAGTTTTTTATTTTGATGAAGTCCGATTTATTTTTTCTTTTGCTCCTTGCTCTTTTGTGTCTTGTCTAAGAAGCCATTGTTTAATCCGGTATCATAAAGCTTTTCCCCTATATTTTTCTTCTAAGAGTTTTATAGTTTTGGCTCATAAGTTTAAGTATTTAATCCATTTTGATTAATTTTTGTGTATAGTATAAAGAAAGGTCCAGCTTCATCCTTTTACATGTGCATATCCAGCACCATTTGTTGAAAGTACATGTTTTTAAATTACAACTGGGTCTTGGTATACTCAAGGGATTGGTTCTGGGACCCCTGAATATATCTGAATCTGCACATACTCAAGTCCTGCATTCGGTTCTGGGGAACCCACCTATACAAAAAGTTGGCCCTCTATGTATACAAGTTTTGTGTCCTGCAAGCACTGTATTTTTGATCCTCGTTGGTTGAAAAAATGTGTGTATGCGTGGACCCATGCAGTTCAAACCAGTGTTGTTCAAGGCCCAACTGTAGTTTGCACCATCCTTTTATTTGAGTGTGGGGGGTTCCTCCCTTCCTCCCCCAATTCCTCAAAGTCTAGATGTCATGCCTGTTATTCTACCATTAGAAGTCTTCTGATTCTGATCTAATGGATGTGGGTTAAGGCCCAGGTATAAGCATTAATGAAAAGCTCACTAGGTTATTCTAATGTGCAGGCTAGGTTAAGACTTAATGAACTAAAGGTTTAAAAAGGACCAAAGAGAAGGAGTCACTGGAAGGCACACTGCTGGAAGAGATGTGCTGATGTGTGTGCTGAGTTGTGGCATTTCAGACCTCTTTTTCTCTGCTGGAGCAACGTGGCTGTTGTCCGCTACCCTACAGGTGGCAGCATCTCCTTGCTGAAAGAATACACATGTACCATGTCAGTGCTTTTTAAGGTTAGGAGTGAAGTATGTGAAATAAGAGGACCCTCTGTATTTAAAAGAAAAAAAAAAAAAAGACAAAAACCTAGTAGAAGAGAGCATAAACCCTAAGCACTGTTCTCCCTTCTGCAAGTGAGAGATAGTATTGTTCTGTAACACAAGCACTTTTTAAAAAGAACTATTTTATTTCACAAGTGATACAGAGAGAACTCTACTTTGCCATTTTAGTTTTTACCTTTTATTCTAGGGGCACCGTGAAATAATCTGGCTTTGAAATAACTGCAAACACAAATTAAATTTTGAAATTAGTTGTAGATCTTAGGTCTTTTAAGCATATAAAATACAAATAAAATGCCCTTTATTGTCTAAAATTGTATTTGTGGAAAAGCATGAGGATGCCAGCTGCAAGGTCTGAAGGGCTTCCATGCCATGGTTTTGTATTCTCTGGAATCCTTACACTGACAAGAACAAAGCTTATTAGCATGTTTCCCCCAGTAAATCTCACCTTTGGTGATCAGTTCCTCCTCTCATGTTGCTGAAAGGTGTATCTGGTATAATTGCAAAGAAATAATTGAGCAAGAACACTATCCATATTCCATTTTTTAAAAATTTTTAGTAAATTACCGGTAACAAATCTGTGGTTAGTTTCAGAAATCTTTCTGGATGTCAGTAGTGCTGCAGAGTGCCGATAGGATTCATTGTGCTCCAGACTTGTGCTCCTCAGAGTGTTTAGGAACCAGTACTGGTCTGTAAACTGTTACTAGCCCACAATTACGTAACATTTAAAAACTTGTATAACAATTTGACATTGTCTCAACGTATTGTGTTTTATAAAAGTATTGGTCTGCAGTAGGTTGGGAAAAACATAAAACTGGTCCTTCCCCTCAGATGGTCAAGAAACATGGTTCTAAAGAAAGCAGTAGCTTTGAGGAGGAAGTACTTAAACAATCTTTCTTTTTTACATTTATTTTTTCTCTCTCAGGGATTTTTTATTGGAAGACATGGATGTTGCCGCCAATGAGCTCAGCATTTATGACAAACTTGCCGAGACTGTTGATTTGGTGAGACAGACAGGCCATCAGTGTGGCATGTCAGAGAAGGCAATTGAAAAATTTATCAGGCAGCTCCTGGAAAAGAATGAGCCTCAGAGGGGGCCACCCCAGTATCCTCTCCTTATAGCTGTGTATAAGGTAATGATATATACCGGCTTGGAAATCACTTAGAGCACAAACTGTTCAACATTCTTCCCAAATATTATCGTTGCCTGATTCTACCAGTGAGCCTTGCTTTTTCTGTGACTAAATTGGCCTGTGTTCCTGTTACCATGCGTTACTAGGAAATTTGACTATGCTGTTAAATGTCCTGGATGAAAGCTGTGTATGTATAATTAACACATTGACTGCAACACTAGAAAAAAATTTTTTTTCCTTGGGCCCACGATGTTTTATTATGAAAAAAGAATGAAAACTTCAAAAAGAAAACCATCCTTTTTAATTGAATGAAAAATTTGTTATTTTGTATTGTTTTGTGTTTGTGAGCTGTATGCAATTAAATTGTCAATATTAATTATAACAATAAGAACATCAACAAGTAAGATTTTCATAAACCAACTGCGGGGTTTTGCCCACGGGCCACCATCACGTAACATGAATACTACAGTGTGGCATTGTGAGTTGCCTGTGCACCACACAGCTCCCAAGGTAAAGAGATGTGTGAGTTACATATGCTTCACGAGACCCTGGGCTCAAAACTAGCCTGAGTTAAATATAACTCACACGGCAGTTAATGTGTTAAACTCTATTTGTGTGTATTTTTTAGTGGTGGATATAGCTCCTGATTGTATGGTAGAAGCTTGGTGAGCCTTGCAGTCCTTATAGCTCTCAAATTTTAAATGCTTCCAGAAGTGAATGTAAATGGCTTGTTTATGAAAATGGATTTGTTCTTAAGACACATTAGAAATAGCAGAAGAGGCCTGTTTTTTTCTTGACATTAAGTATTTTATTAGCTGGGACAATTATTAATGCCTTTCCTATGTTTTCTTATAGGTCTTCGTAACCTTGGGATTAATCTTGCTCACTGCCTACTTTGTGATTCAACCTTTCAGCCCATTAGCACCTGAACCGGTGCTTTCTGGAGCTCACACCTGGCGCTCTCTCATCCATCACATTCGGCTGATGTCCTTGCCCATTACTAAGAAGTATATGCCAGAAAATAAGGGAGTTCCTCTTCGTGGCGGTGATGAGGACAGATCCTTTCCAGGTAGAATGCTGCATTTATTATTTATCAGATACAGTTTTCTTGACAGGATACGAGAGGAAAGGCAATAACATTTATTGATAACTAAGGAGAGATACCTTCCCTGTATTGTCTCATTTAATTCAGTCCCACTAAAACTCTGTGGGATGGAGTTTATTATTTCCATTTTCCCAGACTGAGAAACTGAGACTCAGATTAAGAAACTTACCAGAGATACACATCTGCTGGAACCAAATTCAGAACACGCATGGTAGGGAAGAGTGTTTGCCCATAAGAAGTTTTGACTGTATCTTACTCTATCCTTTTCTCTCCTGTGATCCCTATCCATAATGGATGTTTAATAAATAGCTATGGATTTATCGAAAGCATCTGAGTCCAGCTTGCTTTTAACCAGATCCTTTAATGGTCCTTGGCCTATTGAGCTAGGTTTTTGTCTAAGTATATCCCACTCTTTCAATTTAGTCTTTCTCTCTGTCACAACTCACTTAATTTAGTGCTCAAAAGTGTATCAGTTTTGCCAGTAAGTTGAATTTAAGAAACACTTAAGTTTAGTCACAGTGCATCAGTGGCAACATAGGAATTCATAGTCCGACAGACCATTTGAGGGATTTCCATTTGAGAATAATGTAACATGTGATAAGACTTGAAATTTACTTTTGGAGAAAGACTAGAGGGATATTATTTTGATAATGTTTATTTGTCCATATTAGAGGAATATGTACATTAATATCACAAATGGACTGTAGAACTTCTTGTGTAACCATGTTCTGAAATCTTTAGGATCCAGCATAACTTTTAGGAAATATATTTTCACAAAAAAATTTACTAGTTTAAGCTTTATTTTTTATTTTTACTTATTTAATTTTTTTGTGACACTCTCACTTTATGGCCCCAGCTACAGTGCAATGGCATCATCATGGCTCACTGCAGCCTCAAACTTCTGGGCTCAGGCGATCCTCCTGCCTCAGCCTCCGTGGTAGCTGGGACTACAAGTATGTGCCACCATGCCCAACTCATTTTTTTTCTATTGTGTTTTTAGTATAGATGGGGTCTCATTCTTGCTCAGGCTGGTCTTGAACTCCTGAGCTCAAGCGATGCTCCTGCCAGCTTGGCCTCCCAGAGTGCTAGGATTACAGGCGTGAGCCACGGCACCCAGCCCAATCTAAGCTTTATAATCATAAAGCTTCTTTATACCAAGACCTAATCAGTCATAAAAATCATCCCTTGGGTTGGGTTTCCTTTGAAAGATATTTTTGTACACTTGAGGAAGGTGTGGAAAAATTTCCAAAATTATATCAAAATCAAAGGAAGGGAACACTGTAAGATAAGAAATCATTTTTTGAAAAAAATCAATAGCTCATATATTTAGTTTTTAAATTCCAGATATAACTTCCTTGTATTTATTGGGAAGGTTGTTTTTGAAACGTCATACAGAGCTCAAAAATGAAGTTTCCAACCCTTATCAGGAAGGTCCAGAGCATTTGGAGGAAAAACTTAGAGAAACTTGTCGGTTAAGCCAGGCTGTGCTGCTTGCTTAGACCCATCAGGGTCCTTTCCTGACAGTCTTCCCTTCACAGCCTCCCTAATGACAACTTCTACTCTTTGGCACGTGGATGAAGTAAGCAGAACCTGGTGGATGGCATCACTTTCTTCCCCCTGTCACGTAGAGTGAATCTCCATAGACTGTTGAGTTGAAACAGGGAATAGCCAATGGACAATAATCACTCCTTCTCCAAATCGTGGTTTAAAAAAATTCAGGAAACATTAGTATCTTGTCAACAAGCCAGATTATTTGGTTCACTTCAGATTAATATTTTGCCTTGCAGATGGAAATAGAACGAGTCCTTGGAGCTGAGCTCAGTGGTTAAGGAGAGGGAGCATTGGAAGGGTGTGGTTTCAGCTCTTTAATGTTATTGATGCTATTAAAATGCTGTTTTTACTTATAAATGTGGACATTGGCGCACTGTATTTTCCTATTTGTGATAGTTCTGGGAAGCTGTAGACGTGTAAAACTAATTGTTTTGCATAACATTTGGAAGAGGAATTAAGAATGCATAATGAAATGAAGGGTAAATAGAAACACATGGGGAGAATTAGTTGCAACAACTGGGAACTTCTGGGCCTGCGAGAGGCCTGCGAGAGGGCAGGAAAAATAAAAATATACCTTTTTTTTTTTGAGACAAAGTCTCACTCTGTCATCCAGGCTGGAGTACAGTGGCGTGGTCATAGCGCACTGTAGCCTCAAACTCCTACGATCTTCCCGCCTCAGCCTCCCAAGTAGCTAGGACAACTGGTGCACGCCACCATGCCTGGCTAATACATCAATACATCATTTTTTAATGTCTTGGTACCAAAAAACAACTTCCTTCAAGTTAGGGTTACTTAGCAGTACATTTAAAATAAAGGTAGGGGAGAATCTTCCGTGGCAGATTGGCCAATGGAAACCGCCCCCCCCCAGCATATTGTTTCCTTAACTACTGGCCTGTCTGACCTCCCAGGGTCATCTGGTGCTCCTTGGGAATGATGGGGGACAGCTGGAGCCTTGGTGACATACTAGAGGCACCACCACTAACGGTCAGGGGTTTTCTCCTGACCCTACCCAGGGAACAAAAGGGCAACAGAAGTGAGGTTCTTTTCTAGGTTTCAGCCTTGGGTAGGAAATCCTGCCCCTAAATCCTCTTGATCAGGAGAATGAAGTGACTTTGCAGTGAGTGATATAAACATCTCACTCTACAGCAAAAAATAAGTAAATAAGCTGACACTTATTTACCAGGTAACAGACCCTATTCAAGGGATTTTCCATATATTGGCTCATTTAATCTTTACAAAATCCCTGTGAGGTAGTTGAAGGTTTCATGCCCATTTTACAGATGAAGACACCGAGACACTACAGTAAAGTTTGATCTCTTGCCTGAGGTCCCGAGGCTATTAAGTCATAGAGCCACGATTTGAACTCAGGCATCCAGTCTTCAGAGTCTGAGCTCTTAACTCTGATGAGAGTAGTTTGTAGCTACGTAGTGACCTGAAGAGTCTAGCTTTAAGTTTGAATTTGGAGTCCTACACTCTTCTTCTCTCAGATCGTCAGATACTGTCTCTCTCAGCTCTCTAGTCCCTGAAGAGACAAGGTTCTTTCTGGCTGGCACTGCAGTTCCAAAGATAAGTGGTCTTCCACGCTATTGGCCCTCTAGAATTTTCCTGCACTGGTCTTTCCCGAGCATTCAGCCCAGCTCATCCTCTCAGTCTGCACCCTTATGAGCAACGTTCGACTGACTCAATCCATTCTCTTACTAACCCATAGTTTTCCCTTCACAGTCACATTCTTATTTCTTTTTTTTCCCTCCTGACCTCCTATCTTTATGTCCACTTTGCTCCTGCCAGCCGTCCTCTTGGCTTTTACCATTTCCACGGAATCATTAAGTCTTGGAGTGAAAAAGGACCTTTAGAGTTAATCTAGTACATACTCTCATCTTATAAAAGAAGACATTGAGGCCAGGAGAGGTGAAGGAACTTGCTTACCCAGATGAAAGTGGCAAAATAGCATTTGAACCTTGGTTTCTTAACTGTCTTCTAAGCATTCTGTCACACTTACTGCCTGCCCTCAGCCAAGCCAGGTGCCAGCATGTTAAACCCAATTATCTTGTTTGCAATTGTTTTGTGGCATTTTCTGGCCACTTTTAAATTAAAATGCCCATGTATACTGAGGAAGCCTGGGGTAGCTCTCACATATAGTGAGACGGTATACCTCTGTACTGCTCCGTTAGAGCTTTGTGCATCCAGGGCCTTCAAGGAAAGGATGAAGTGCGTACAGCAGCATCCAGGAGCTTGGGGAGTAACAAACCATTCGTTGACTTAGAACTAAGGGCCTAGTCTGACTTAAAGAGTCCAGGCCAGTGCCCAAAGATGAAATACCTGGACCTCAAGATACTCCAGGAGTATCTTACTCTTTTGTTTGCAAAATAAGCTTACCTTCTGTGATAAGACCAGCTGTGTCAAGCACGTCTGTATACCAGGCACTGCGCTATATACTTTATATTCATTTCTCAATCTACAGCAATAACATAAGGTAAATACTGTTTTTATGTCCATTTCAAAGACAAGGAAACTGATGTGCAAGGGGATTGAGTAACTTACCTAAAGTCTCATATTTAGAGAAAAATTTTTGCGTAAGTGAGAACTCATGAAAATAGATGGACTCTCTTTCATTTGGAGGTGTTCAGATACATTGCTTCCTGGAAGTAAGGCTATTGGCGAAATGATTTCTTGAGCTCCTTCCATCCCTGCAGTGTATGAAAATGGCTCTGGGCATGCTGCCACCCATGCAGGGGACCTGGCAAAGGCCACTTCCAGGCTTTCCCCCTGCCTCATGCCCAGGATGCTAGAAGAGGTGCTATGCAAAGTGAGCTCCTGGAGAGTAGCCTGGTTAAATACTGAGCACGGGCCAGTGAAAGTCATGGGAACTTTGTCATGGGCTTTGCAGGCTTTTCTTGGGTATATTTCTAATATAAGAAATCATGAGGTTTGATTTATTTAATCTTTATTTTGAAGTTTCTGTGAATCCAGACAGCTCATTTGATTTTTCTCCCCATGGACTTAATTTTATAGTTAAAGCTTCTGGTTCGTTGGCCTCCCTTTCTTCCTTCCTTCCTCGCTCCCTCCCTCCCTCCCCTACTCGTTCATCCCTTCAGCGAATGTTTATTGAGAGCCTGCTACATGCCAGACACTGTTCTCAACAGAGCAGTGAACAAAACAGACAGAAAAACCTCCTGCTCTTGTAGAGCTAGTCTTGGCTTTTTCCCTTTCTTTCTTCCCTGTCCTTTTTACCCAGAGGGAGTTTTTGGTCCTGAAAAGAAATATTTTTTTTCTTTTTGCCAGGTTAGTGATCTGTGTAAAAGGACTCTCCCCACTAAGAGTTCCAGGATATGTTATGGTTGTCCACAGTGAACGAGCCTAAGTGAGTTTTCTTTGTAAACAGCTCTCAGGCACCACGAAGCCTCCTGATGGGT